TTGAGAGTCACACAGGCCACAGCTTGCTCAGGAACAAAAAGCCTCAGTGCTTTACTGGCACCACACATTGGATAATGTGCAACTTCAGACCAAGACCAACAAGTATTTGGGGCAGAGAATCTTACACGCTTCAAGACTTCTATCTAAACTACATTCAGACTGTCTGAGAAGCTGTCAGCAAAAATCTGTACACCCAAAGCAGAAGATTAAATGCTAAGTTCACTGTCAGCACACAGGACAGATTTGTGATGGTGACAGAGGCCTAAAAAAACCAAACCAAACCAAATTAACAGCTCAGGTCTGACAAATCCCTTAAGGAACTCAAACCAGTACAATTTACAGAGGAGAGCATTCACTGAGCATGAATTAATAGGTTCCCAAAGGGGCCTTGTGTTTCTGAAAGGGTTTCTGAAGTCTTTTGTGCACAAACAACAGTAAGAAGTTCAGCTGATGCACAAGAACTTGAAGATCTCTAAAATAAACAACAAAGAAAATCACCACAGATTTAAAGAAGGTTCTTTAAGAAACAATGATTGATAAAAGAGCATTTAGGAAAAACCCTGGTGTAATACTCTAGTTATGTGGTCTGTGGTACAAGTAGTTTCCATGTACTCTCTTCTGATAAAGAACTTAACCACAATTGACCTTTACAATATGGCTGTGAAGCCTCCAAAAGGTAAAGGTAGACACAGCACCTACTTTAAAGACAGATTAAATGCCTGAACACCTTTGTAAGGGAGAATAAAAAGGAGCTATTTAGAGACACAGCTATTTGGAAAAGCATCAAGTGTTTTCTAGCTGTAAAAATATGAATGAGGAGGAAAAAGCTGTTAGACAAAAGAGTGTTTTGATAAGCAGATTTCTGTGTCTGGAATCATCTCCCTGACAGGCACAGCAAATGTAGACATTTAAAACCTTATTAGGCAATTCATACATGAAGGTACTGCAGGTCAAACCTGCTCTGTCATCAAGTGCACTAGAGTACTGAACAGATTTTCCATCTCCAAACTCCAAAATAAGCAAAGATACTTTTCTAAGAAGAGTCTAAAGAACAATCCCATAAACCAAACTCCACTGTATTTCTGGTGAATAAAAGGAAAATGAGAAGCAATTAGAATGATGTTAAGTCAAAACAGCTACATAAATAAAAGCAAAGGAAGGCTAAAAACCCTAAGAGAGCTGCTGAGGCTTTTCCAGGGGACAGATGAATTAGTCCAGCTTTAAGTCAGAATGAAATGTGGAATTAGCTGCAAAGTGTCCATGGACCAATGTCTGAGTAACATCATGAAACTGGTACACACACTGCCTTCAACATAAATTAACTGTACCTTCAGGAACACCATGACAGCTCTGCAGAAGGAAAGAAAGGCCCCAAAGCATGGCTTTAGGTCAGCTCTAAGCTCAGTGCTGAGGGCTCTGTCCTTACCATCGTACTTTGTCGCAGGTCTGTGTGGCGCCGAGCGGAGACCCTGCGACCATGGGGACCTGGATGGGGCTGTGCTGCTTGTTCATGACAAGATCCAACTTCTCCTCCAGTGATTTACAGGTGGCCTCCAGTGCCAGCAGCTTTGCCTCGATGCTATCCAAGCGCAGGCATATTGTCTGATTGATGGAATACAGGAATGACTGGAGAGAGGAGAGTGGAAAAGGAACTGGCTTTAAACACTTAGGCATTTACCTTCAGCAACATACACATAAGGAAGCTCTGGGTAAACGTGACTAGGATGCAATTCCAAAGGAACTAGCAGCGTGCCTAGTGACAATATTCAGCCATGGTCAAACCTGATGACATCCAGGAGCATTTTAGCATTCTCAGATTCTTCCAGGTCTTTATTTAGAAGCCAAAAAGCACCAGAGCCAAACACATTTCCACCTAGGCACTTTGTTAGGATGATTTCATCCACCACAAAATCATTTCAAATGACATGCCAAAGCCTTTCATTCCACATGTGAAAACAAAGGGATTATAAATCCATGAATGCATCCTCCTGGATAAAGTTAAATAAGGTTTTTTCCTGCCCAAACAGATAAATTCAGATGATTGCAGTGGAAACGATATCAACACAAATAAGCTCTGAGACAATTAATACTGCTCACTTCAGTCTTCTCCTGAACAGCAACTCAAGAGGAGCAAATAAATAAAATCTATTTTCCTAAGCAATCTTGTTCAGAAGAAAACATATTCCACTTGGGTTCTCTGGGGAAAACAGGTCATTAAAGGCAGAAGTTACACACACTGTGCTTTGCAAACAGCAGCTGTGCCATCTTGTGGCTCTGCACACAATGAACACAAATCATACACCAGATCTGCTTTACAGCACTGCTGCCTCACTGTTCTCCAATGCAGAGCTTCAGCGTCTGTGAGCATGCCAAAAATACACACTTACACACCAGTGAATGACTGTGGCAGGAAACACTAGTCATATGCTCCAAGACAAAAAACAACCTAAAGCACATTAGTGAGTACAGCAGGGCAAGTTCTGAGCTACTGAGCCCCAACCCAATATGATGCAACTGTTAGGGGAATGCTGTTACCTTAGAACCATAGAGCAGCATCAGAGAATCATCCAGGTTGCCCAGGGACGTGGTGGCTGCCCCGACCCTGGTAGTGTTCAATGCCAGGCTGGATAAGGATTGTGCAACCCAATCTAGTGAGGAGGTGTCCCTGCCCAGGGCAGGGGGTTGGGACTAGATGATCCGTAAGGTCCATTCCAACCCCTAAATTCTATGATTCAGGTTGGAGGAGACCTCTGAGATCAACAAGTCCAACTCTTAACCTGTCACTGCTGTAACCCCTAAACCATATCCTCCAGCTCCACATCCAGACACCTCTGAAACACCTCCAGGGATGGTGACTCCACCACCTCCCTAAGCAATATTCCAGTGCCTGGGCACCCTGACAGGGAAAACATTTCTCCTGACCATTAACCTGAATACCCCCTGTCTCAGCTTAAAATACTAATTTAAAGCAAACTGAAAGTATCTGCAAATTCTCCAAGCACGTGTTCAAGTTTATCTTTTAGGTTAACTTCATTGGCTTCATCAGACAATGTACTAATAGTGATGTTTGAGTCAATGGAAATAATCATCAATATACATATAAATTAATATATTGCATATGAAACTGCTGCTACTGATTTTACACTGGAAAATTAGCCATTGTTCAGATTGTAAAATTCATGTATAAAAATGAAAAAGGATTTACAAGAAGCCTACAAATAATTATAGTATTATGCATAAACAGTTTGCTTTAGATTCTTTTAACATCTTTCCTTAAGAAAGGAAACTTAACTGGGATCCCAAACAAAACCAGAAGAAGGCATTATTATTATAACCTTAATAGAGGGATCCTGGCAGTTGATCTCTATGCGCTGACGCTTCAGAGCAGGTTCCACTTCATCATCTGCCACTTCATGGTTTGTCAACACAACTGCACAGAAACAAAGAACACAGGAATGTAAAAGGCATTTATTTAATTAATAGAAGCTACTCAGTTAAAATGCTGCAGGAATTCTTCTACACTTGGGGGCTTCTCTTAAACGTATGACAATGGTGATGGGCCCAGGTGTGAGTTCCTCTACCAAAAGACTTACTGAAGGGTGTCCACACCTCACCTGAACCCCAAATCACCAGCAGGGCTGGGACTGGCAGGTCCCAACTTCTCCTCCAATTCTTTAGGAACTTTTCTGAGCTAGCTTTTTCATTTTGTAGCAGAAAAACAGTTTTTGGTAGGTGTTTCTGTTCCCATCACCGCAGCGACTGCTCTTTCAATCACTTCCTTGCAATGGCCACAGAGGTTCAATGTCTAGAGCTGATCTCAATATGGTTTTGCTTAGTAGGCCAAGGTCTAAGCAAGGGATATCCCAATATTTGCTTTCAGAAGTGTTTTTCAATTTTACTGTAATGTTGTTACACAAAGAATTTTATTAATGTATGAGAAAAACTATTTTACAAGTAAAGCAACAATTCCTAAGAGATGGGTGACAGTTTCCATTTGAGGGAAAGCCTAAAACCTGTATCAGGTCTGGAGAAAAACAGGAGACTGCAGAAAGTCATATTTCATTCAACTTTTGGCACTAGTCTAGCCCTGCACAAAAAAAAAAAAAAAAGTCCCAGGCAATAAAGCCTTTGAAAGAAAAGTACAATAAATAAAGTAATCTGATCTAAAGAGTTTGAGGATACACAAGTGAAACTACTGGAAATGTGGGATGTGGGCTTAAGAAGGATTTCTTGGAAGAAATTTCTTGCACCTGGTTACCAGGCACTGCTGTCCATGCTGGAAATACCTGGGTTATCTGGAGTCAGGTCCTCAACAGCAATCTGAACCACATCTGCCAAATCCTGTTCTGACATCATTCAGAACCAGGCTGCAATATCCCCTCACACACCTCTGCAGCTCCACAAGGCAGGGACTGTGCAAGTCATGCAATCCTGGAAAACAGCAGCAAGGAGAGTGTTAGTACAGATGTACTCGATACAGCAACAGTGCCTTTATTTTTTCATTCTTTCTCTATCAAGGGAGATTCAGTTCCCAACAGAAATGACCAACCCACAAAGTGATTATCCAGAGGTATCAGTGACTGCTTTGCGCCAAGAGCAGAGGACAATGTGACCTGCAGTACCTGAGTAAATCTTTCTATATTAGGACTCAGACAAAAGCTCAAGCTTCTCTTGCTGATCCACCTCTCTGCACCTTCCCAATGGATAAAGAGAACATTCAGGTTCAGAGATTTGGCAGCTCATTAGAAAAAAATACAAAACACAGTGTTTTCTTTGAAATTTTCTTTACATTTTAGGGTTCGAAGTTTAAGAATGTACAAGACAAGTTCTAAATTGCAGAGGTTTAAGTTTTAATTATTACTTAGCTTTTGGAAGCGACCAGACTTACTTAAACTTAGTATATGAAGCTCCCAAGTTACAAGATTTGCAATTAGTGCACATTCATGTACAAATCTTAACAGGCCTCTAAAACCTTCCTACGTTTGGTGAAAACAAGGAGTTTTCTCACAACTGTTTCTCACAGTTGTAACTACAACTAGACTTAAAGAAAACTTGACTTTTTTCTTCAATATGAACTTGTCTGTTCTTTCTGCAGCTTAGCTCTGGTGAAACCATTTGCAGAACATGGTTCTGATCTTAAAGCTAAAATATTTCTCAGCCTTGTTCCCTTGGGTATCTTTCAAGGTTATTTCATAGAACCACAGAATCGTCAAGGTTGGAGGAGACCTCTAAGATCAACAAGTCCAAACCTTAACCTGCTATTTATTAGTGTTTTAAGAAAAACCGTCAGCCTGTAAAACTGAATTAAAATCACTGGAATCACTCCTGTTTGTGCTTTCCCACAGTTTATGAAGGGATGGACAAGGAATACTAAGAGATCAGTGGTTTTTTTTCCTTTTTAATGTGAAGTAAAATACACTAGAGAGAATTTGAGGGTCACCAATGGAAATGGTAACTCATCCCCTAACACTGGCACAGAATCAAATCCAACCATGCATAAAGATCTTCCTCTTTCTCTTCCTCTTTAACCCATTGAGCTCCACAGGTGCAGAACACATTTTTAAAGATAACAACACAACCCACAGAAGAAATATTGCTCATGAGAGGCCTCCCCACAGCCCCCAACTGTTTACTCCAACACAGCCAATACTGAGTCACTTGCAATTCTGCTCATGGTGAGAAACACTCCTGGGCCAGCACAGACTGTGGCAGGAAGCCCAAAAAAAAAACCCTGGCAAGACATTAGTGCATGTGGATGCCATTTTGGCAAATTGAATTTGCCATTTCTGAGAACTCCTGGTGCCCAGCCAGGCTGAACAGACTAAACCAGCTGTGCTGCACTCCTGTTTCATAATGCTACGTACTGCTAGGGACATTAAGAGCTCTGCCCTCAGCTGGAAGGAAGACATCCACCACTCCAAACATTAAAAAAGGACAAATTAAGACAAAACCCAACTGTTTAAAACTTTGTTTACAGGATTCAGGATTTCACTGATGCTGCACATGTATAAACCAGTTATAGCTACAAACATTTTTTACATTTTATGTATTTTATGCAGCATTCTGAAGGAGCTGCAATGATTCTGTTTAAATCCACTTTAATACTTCATATACTGTTAGGAACTGCAGTGATAGGACAAGGAGTAACATGGGGAAACTGAAGGAGGGAAATTTAGATTAGATATTAGGAAGAAGTTTTTCCCTGTGAGGGTGGTGAGACACTGGCACAGGTTGCCCAGAGAGGCTGTGGCTGCCCCAACCCTGGGAATGTTCAAAACCAGGTTGGATAAAGCCTTGAGCATCCTGGTGTGGTGGGAGGTGTCCCTGCCCAGGGCAGGGGGTTGGGACTGGATGATCTCTAAACTCCATTCCAACCCCTTAACATACAATGAAACTATGAGTATTTATCATAGAATATCCTGAGTTAAGGAACCCACAAGGATCACCAAAGTGCAGGTCCTGGCCCTGCACAGAACACCCCAGCAATCCCATCATCTGCCTTCAAAATTCATTATAATAAACAAAATCACTGAATTAAACCTTTCTTCAACACAAACACAAAATAATATCACTTTTCCAACCTCTGTTCTCCGCCTCTCATGGATTTTTTCCTGAGAGCCTGAAAGTGTTCAACCTCAACCAGAAACATCAAATTACTCTGTCCCAGAGCCTCAAAACAAGGGCACAAGCACCAAACCAGGCCTGACAGAAGAGCTGTGACACACACAGAGCAATGTGTCTTCAGGCCATCAGTATTTATCCCCATTTAAACCAATCTGACTACAATTTCACCAAGTCAGACACAGCTCACAGGCAATCAGCCAACACCCTGATGGAACACAACTCTGCCTTCCCAACAGACACAATTCCCTGCTGCTGTCACCACTGAGCTTCCAGATCAAGACACAAGGGGAAAACAAGGAAATTTGTTATCAGTGCTGGATGTCTGGATCAGGAAAGCCATGTCCAGGGAAGCTCCCCTGAGTGCTGCAGCCACAGCAGCTGTGACACCCAGAATAAAATCTCTTCCAAATTGTGCATTTCAATTTCTAAGAGTAAACTGAGCAGGGGCTAACCTTGCTTCCAGAACCAAGGGTAAGAGCCTGATAACATTTAACAGGATGAGAGTTAGATGAGTTTATCAGCTTCAAAAAGCTCCAGTCAACAAATTCGGAATAACTTTCCCAATACAGTTTCCATATATTTTACTCAGTGAAGTATTTACCAGTTTTTCTTCGCATAAAATACTTCTTTCCTTGAAATTTGTTCTATATTCCCTGGCGCTTTTTTTCCTGCTTTCTTTCTCCTGGCTGAAACCCTAGTCCCCATTAATTCTCAATTAAGTCTATGTACATTGGCACTGAG